TTACTAAGCCAAGTTCACTAACATTGACCTGAGCAGAAAGGATGTAAATTTGGTAATTTTCTTCAACTCATCAAAATACACAACAAAGATACTTTGTATAATTTTCTTAATCAACTATACTTAGTGGTTGGGGCATAAAATAGCTTTGTTAAAATTTTGTTATCCATTTGAGAATGAGTTTGTTTGGACATACAACCTGTACATATCTTAACAATCATTTTGACAAAGTCCTCAAAATTACCCAGATTACAATGTTATTATCATTATCACAGCAAAGCACCAACTGTCATCTTTTTGGGTTAGAAAAGTTCAAAGACAGAACACACACAAGATGGCAGGTCCAATAACCCAGATTATATTGACGAGAGCACATGGTAATAAACATGGCTGCTGTACACCATGTGGGCTCATAGAATCATTCAAAAAGCTGAACAGTCGATATAAAACATCTGTCCCAGGTGCCCACCCAGTGGCAGCTCATCCCAGTTTCCTTAGCATGAAGTGACTAAGAAGTATTTTTCCTCCCAACAGAATGGGAAGTCAGTTAATAACAACAGGTGGAGAGAGGCACTGTGGGAGGAAAGTGTTTTGGCCAAGAACACAATACAATGACCTGGCCAGGTCTTGAACCCAGACCTCTTCACTCAGAGTCCACTGTATGAACCAATCTGGCCACAACATCTTTTACAAAAATATTGTAACATGAATTTTATCAGGGTCCTTAAAATTACTCTTACAATTTGCTATCTATCACTGTCAGACAAAGAAAACCTGCTTTACAATTCTTACCTCAACAACAGTTCCTTTTGTTATGACTCCTAGTTGTGTGTACATTGGTGACTGGGGATTCTTTTTCACTCCAATAATAGGAAGACAAAATGTTGCTTTTAACTGAAAAGTAACAAAAGTATCTAATAAACATTGTAAATTATCTCAAAGACCAAGTTGAATAAGATGCAAAATTGAGTATGAACCAAGAATTTCTTCCACAGGTTATAGCTAATTGGTTTACATTCACTGTAATTTTAGCATGAGTCAATTGGTGAAACTTCAAACCATGTAAAATTCAGGATCTCACCTCAGGGTGCGTGACATGAGCCTTCTTGAATCTTAAACCCTAAACAAGAGCAACAAAAAGAAATGGATCAATATTTCATTTCAGCTTAATCAAAGATCACCCACCAGTTGAAATATGCAAAGTAGGCAGCTAATGGAAGTTCAATCTTTACTCTAACGTTGTTAATTTCAGAGAAAATAGGCAGCTATTTTGCTCCTCATAGATGTTAAACATTGCTGGTTGCTGGCTGCTAATGGAGCCTGTGCAGATTGAGGATGTGGTATCTTGTAGTGCAAGGATGCACATACAACATACAGTTAAGGCTATGCATACAGGTGTTATAAATGAGTCAATGCATACTGGCATTGTTTAAGAAAGAAGATCTCACCATTGGTCTGATAAACCTCTCATACTTTGGGGGTTTCCTTGTAAACCCTTCCCCAACATAACAGACCTTGGTTACCATCCTCTTCCATGCTTTTTCTAAAAGAAAAAAAAAACACAATCTTACAAAAACACAAAATACCTTCCCCTGAGATAATGAGACCATTGATTTGTGGTAATATACAAAAATATGCTTATACAATGACCACTATTTCATGTACATGTACATTGATGACATTTTCCTGATGGGATTTCAATATCTGGCATGCCTCCACAATGTACCTTACGACTTTTTTTTCTCTGTTAGCAGCCTCAAAGATGTACTGGGTAACTCAAGTTTAGATTTGACCAAACTCTGACATGTTTGAAGCAACTTATACCAACCCTCCCAGATTTGAAATGAAAAAGGTGTGGCACATGGCATACACATTGATACAGCTGCTTAAGGGGTTCAATTGGCCAAAAGAGCCAATTTATCCACGACTTGATCACATTATCTAACTTTTGCATGGTTAAATTTTCCTGGGCACCATTATCATGAATAAATGTGTTTAAATTCAGTACAGGTAGCATTTAACAGCCCGAAAACTTACTTTTGGACTTCCCTGTTTTGACAATTTTGAAAACTTCATCTTCCCCAACAGCTTTTACTTTAGGAAGTGGTACATCCCATTTTCCCTAATGACAAGCAAATAGTATTGCAGTTTGATTAATTACATAGAATTTCATGTGCTGTTAATGATACCAGTTGAATAAAGAAGGCTGGCTGTTGAAAAATATGTTGAAAAATATGGTTGAGTTTGATGTCTTTGAAGAGAGTTTCAATGTTAACTTTCTCTTTCCTTCCATTTTTCCTTGCACTCAAGTAAAACAACACTGAAATGTGCTGTTCTACCTGACCCTGACTTCTAATCCAGAATTTTCACAACCTGTCTTTCACATAATTTGCCCAAGGATTCTAACTTGTGGCCTTATGATCAGATCATTTATTTGCATGCTCTACCAGTGAGCTGTAAAGTTAACACAACTTACCGCTTTCTCCTTTCTCTTTTGTTTGATCATATTACTGAGCACCTTTGCTCGTGATTGCCCTTCTCTGTCCAACAGATATGCAGGAACTGCACCTTCTGGTACATTTTGGCTGTCTTTTGTCTTTGTCTGGCGTTCTTCATGCATTCTTAGTCTGTTAATCATTAAGGTCATTAAGATAACATCAAAGAATCACACTATTTATATTATAATATGGCAGAGAACAACAAGTTCAACAAAACATGTTATTTATGAGGATCCTCTTACGTCTTTTTCATCTGTATTTTTTCAAGGCGGCGCTTTTCATTATACATCTTGGCCCTGTCAAAGAGAAAGGACAATCTCAAACTTTGAAAAGGGGCAACAACACACATCATCAGGATTAAAATTTGCTGTTTTCTGTGTTTACTCAAATGAGTGGTGTTGCTAATTTGAGCTGCATCTTACACAAAAGTGTACCAAACCCTCTAATTCCTAACAAACACCTTGCAGGAATATAGACTTACACCAAGGAACTGTCAGGAAATCATGACAAAGTGCTTAGGTGAAAGGAGGAGAAGCATTCATAATGAAATGGCATCCTACCAGAGAGGAATAGGAATATTCTAAGTTGCTTCACGCTATGGTAACTGGGATAAAGTAGGGCAATGGGGCAATGGATCACCAGTCCAGAGAGGATTATTCAACCTTTTCAAACAGTTAATGAAGTAACATGAACATTCAACTTACTTGAGGCCATGGAGTTTGTGGGCATACTTTGCATGAGTATGTGGCTCACGACTTTCTTTTTTACGCCTGAAATATGCAAAGTTACTCAAATGTTAGTGTCATTTATTACCATAAATAACAGAATCAATTACCAGATTGGCCCTGCTATTTGAATAATTACAACTCTCTCCCTGTTTATATTTCCACGATGAAAGTTATCTATCTATTTCGATTTTAATCTGAATTGTCCTCTGTACAACTCAGCTGTTTTATCTCTCTGTCTCTGTCTCTGTGTCTCTCTTTCTCTGTCGCACTTACTTCTTCTCGAAGTGATCGAGTCTGTATCCACGGCGTTTCCGAGACTGTTCAACATATTCGTTTTGCGGCTGAAATTATGAGCATATTCGTTAGCTCTTTGATTCAAGATCGATCGTATCATTCAACCTTATCCACGTCTCCACAACTTCGTCTTCATAGGGAAAATTCAAAGGGAATAATACAGCAAAAAAATGTTCTTAAAGGCCAGTGTATAAAACTGTAGCACTCACCATGGCTGTATCTTCTTTTTCTTATTGTAATAAATCGTTGTTGGTGTAAAGAAACTCGAAATCTTCACTGTTTGAGTAACGATTTTGTTATACACGTTCGAGTGGTTTGTCAGCCATGCCTGAGAGACCTTCCCATAATGCAATGTTGCAGTCTGTGGTGCAACACTTTTCGTCACCAGTTCACCTCGACCTTGTTACAACTTTACTCCTTTACAAAACTCCACATGGAGCGTTTCAAATATTTTCATTTGCAATATATGACAAATTTCATAAATTTGCATCTGGCTCAACATTTTCTCTCTAGTTCACCGAAGCAGAGGTGGTTTGTGATGAATATTTACCGAGCTGCGAAGCGGAAGAAGATTCACAGACATCATCGACAAATTTGAAGCCCAACAGAGACAGTGCTTGTAATCCGTGAAACAAATTTTTTCATCTGCTTCATTAAAAAGCAACTTTTTTCTTCCCTAGGTGACATTGACATCAAGACCTTGTGGGTGCAAAGGGGGGGTGGGGAAGGGGACATCTGGCGTAATGTAGTGTCGCCAGGTCCTGCAATGAAAATTCGTAGTTTTTCTACCCTGTTTGAGACAAATAATTGTTTTAGATTGTGGTTTCTCGCCCTCATCAAGCCACGTCTAGCATGATCATTGAGAGTATCTCAAACGAGAAATAAAAGTTGTCATTCACGCATTGCCATTTGCCAACGTCTACACTATCGGCGTTAACTTTGAAAATAAGGGAACATCCCTTGAGAAACAAAAGATTTTCAGAGTTTTAGCAGTGGAGTATAAAGTCACGAAACGCTAGTTACCCTTTGCACTCAAATATCAGTATAAATATTCTCTATACTATTTTTTGTATAGTTCTTTAGTTGGTGATTATTTCCTTTATTCGTGACTTATATGTTTGGTTTAGGGTGATATTGTAAGGAGAAATAAGATGCTTCTCATTATTCGGGACAAAGGGTTAAATCAATCTACATCCTGCATTACACCTTTGTTTGCATGAAACCCTCTCTAAAAAACTCTTAAACCTTTACACCCTAAGGTCAGTTTGCTTATTCTCCATACTGTTCTCTGAAAATTTTTCATGTTGCTGACAAGGAGAATTTAAAAATCAAGAGTTTCTTCAGTTGGTGATCATTTCTTTTATTCTCGTGACCTTTATGTGTGATTCAAGGTTGATACTGTAAGGAGAAATTAGATGATAATCACACTATGGGGTTAAAGGGTTAAAAGGTTTTTTAGTCTATTGGGATTCTATGCAAGTATAGACAATTCTACTGTACAACCCGAGAAAAATTAGATGTTGGTCAAAGAGAATTTAATGCGGGTCAAATAGTAGTGAGATATTTTACATTCAGCTATGAAATCACGAGGTTTTGTACAGTAAAAGAGATTCTCTCATTAAACCCAAAAATTACATGACTATTAAAACGACGATCTTATGTTTTCGCGCAAAAAAACATAAAACAAAAACAAAACAACAGCCCTAACTTCAGACAGGTGACACCATATTAAAAACTGATATCAGAAAAAGACAACAAAGACGATAATTTTCCAAGCAGTAAATACGATATTGGACTATTCATAAAAGTGCCAAGTAGATGTTTCCCCAGTATCGCGCGTTTTTCTTATGTCTTCGTTTCTCGTTGAAAATCTCTTCAAGCGCTATAAACATTTTCCTGCCGGAAGAACGATGGGTGTAACAATCTTGGAAGTTAACTGTTGATGGTCCATACAGTCAATGTTGAATGTTCATTTTGTTATTTTTATGCCCTTGAACTGACGTCCCCAGCATATATTTCTTCTTGTTCCTCATTCGCTTCGGCACTAGGGGCCTCTTCTTCAGGGGCCAAGACGTATTCAGCTTTTTTACTTCCATCGACCACGTGTTCATCTATATAAACTGTCCGGATGTTAGAGCCAGGTGTATCAAACATGGGGTCTAATAGCAAATTCTCCTAGAAGATTAAAATTATGCATTAATAAAACCTTAAAAAAATCATTAATAAAATTACATATATTGATCTAATCTTTCTCTTAAAATATTTTGGCTGGAAAGAATCTACACAAAAACGAAAATGGCGAGAAAGAACCCTTCCTTTGGTGACACTGGGTTATCTTTTACTGATCGGTAGAATCCACGAGAGGTACAACAGACGGAATTATTTAACAGAGCAAATTTTCAGTATTGAATGTTAAAAGTAATCTAGGTTTGCGGCGGCTTTGCCTTGCTTCACCCTGTAAATGTTCCAAAAAATATCCACAACCCTCTCCACGTCCGGAGCTAAAACCATGAATTAGTCAGTCGCGTGTTGCCGCGCTCCTGTTTTAATCGTTAATTCTCGTTGACTCCTTGAGAGAGTTATCTTAGCTCTCTCATTACTCTGGTATTCTGATTCTACATCAGTGAGAGTTCTACCTGTCGATTCATTGACCATGTCCTTACCAGTATGGCTCTCAGACCACGTGCTCCCGTCTTCTTTTCCAAAGCTTTGTTAGCGATTAACTTCAAGGCATCAGGACTGAGGTTTAGTTCAACCTAGGAAAGACACTCTCAGTTAACAGAAAATCCCTGGCACAAACATAACACCATTTTAAACTATCATGCACAATTTGGGAATAAACCTGTAAGTAAATGGTAAATTTTCTCAAATGGAGGTTGGATAACACACGTTTAACACCGAAGCGCCAAGTTGAAGAGAGCTGCCGGAGACAGGATAGTCTGGCGGGTAAGCCAGGTGACTTCACGAAAGACACTATGACGATCTCGTTTCTTTGTTGTGGGTACGACCCGAAAAAAATACTACCGGGGGAGAGGGTAAATTTTAGCATTCATTTAGGGGGGGAGGGGGGGGGAGAGACAAAACAACACAACACGCTTAAGGAGATAAAATAAAAGATTCATTCATGTCACAGAAAGGGCCGGATCAAGGCTCGTTAGGAAAACTGAAAAAAGGATCTGATATCGAGGTCATACCTTGTCCATGTTAAACAGTGCTTGGTACTGTGGTACCAGAGCGTTTCTAGGTTCAGTCAGTATCTTCACAAGCGATTCCTCATCCAAAGAGTGTAAACTGACCACCACAGGAAGTCGACCCACAAATTCGGGTATCATCCCGAACTCAACCAGATCCCGCGCCTCCACCTTACTGAGCAACTTGTCCCGCTCGGCATTATCATCTCTAACATCAGGCTGGTAATTCTTGAAGATGTCAAGCTCTTTTCCTTTAGAACCACGATCGCTGGTGGGTGCTCCAAACCCGATCACCTGGAGTAACAGTACCAACGGATTAATATCGTTTTTTACGATTAACAACAACAAAAATTCTCAACAGAAGGGAAATTAAAATTGTAACATTCTTACCTGAACTGCAACCTTAACTAACCCGAAGAAGTTTTTTTTCTTCTCCACAACGCTTGCTCAAATATTAGCATACTTACTAATAATGTTATCTTATCTTTGGAGCCATTTTTGCTTTGGTACAATGACTATGTTGCTATGCATTTGGCTATGATCCTGTGGAACTAAATCTTACCCTTTTCGAGACTTTTTTTTTTCCTATTCACTATCAGAATAAACAGAGCCGGTAGTAATATGTATTCGGATCATATTGGAAATTGTGCAATAAGAAGAAATAAAAAATAATTGTTTCGTTGGTAATAAAGTATCAAACAAAGTTTTTCGCGCATTTAAACACACGAGGAAACATGACAAATGCAGAAGATGTTGAGCAATCTTTTTATTTCGGTATATTGCTTGGGTAGTTGTTGAAAGTTTCGGTCAACATTAATAATAAGTACCTTCTCTTGATTTCTTTTCTTGATAATTCGATCCAGTCCATTGAATGCTCCAGATGCTACAAACAATATGTTCGTGGTATCCACAGCTACACTGTCCCCGCGCATCTTTCGTGAGTTTCTCTCTGGGACATTTACCACCGTCCCTTCAAGGATCTTCAACAAACCCTACAAACAAAATAATTTAAAAATATAAATCGATCATTCCTATCTAAAACTGTCCGAGCTTGTTAATAATTAAACAGATAAGAACGTCAAAGCCCTCCTCAAAAAGCCAGCTTGGCCAAAGGAAAAAAGCGCGAAGACGTTATGGATCTCGATGGTGGCTCAACTGAAAATATTTAAGATTGGACATGATACATGGAGACTTCTACGATATTAGAGCGTGGCCCCTTTGCTCCATATCGAATGTAAAAAAGTTTTGACTTGTAAATACCTTAAGTTACGCCATGATACCAGGGTTCTCTTCGGTTTAGGATTTTTTCGGATATGAAAAATTTGGGTTTTTTATCGCAAGTAAACTGGGTGACTTCTTTCAGGAGACACTTTCTTTCCATATAAAACATTTCAAGAATTCAGATGGACTTATTTTTTTTTCATTATTTACATTGCAAATATGAAATATTGAGTATCTTGGTATTTTCTTGAGTGACATTTTTCTCTTTGTTTGTCCACATTTAGTCTTTCCTGTCACTTTGAACCTGAAATACACCCTTGGGTTGGTGATCACCAACACGTTCACACCTACTCCATCACTTGAACAACTTAATGGTCTGAATTTTCCCTTGATCCAAATGCAAAAAATGAATTTTTACTTTGAAGGAGTCTCAGTTACCTGCTGTACACCTTCACCACCAACATCGCGAAGATTGTGCACACCTGGTACACAACTGATTTTGTCCACTTCATCCAAGAACACAATTCCTGATAAAAACAAGTGCAAAAGGTTAAAGAGCATTGAGTGACAATGACAAAATGCTGATATCTAATTGGTTTGAAAGTTTGTTCAGCTTCACCTTGAAAACACAAATAAACTGACTGTTCCAAAGGCTGTATAAAGGAGGTAAGTTTCTAAACAAACTGCAATGCTGCATCAGTGGGAGTGTATAACGATGTAATTTAGTAAATTAGCCTTTGTAAAGAGTTTAAAAGCTGATGTTTTTTTAGTGTTAGCCCTTCTTCAGTGTGAAGAAATACTAAATTACCCTCTCTTTCCTTCATCTTATTCATTAATTACCTGGGAATTTCGTATTTACATCTTTGGTTATTCATTAGGTAAGGATCTAGTACCCAACAAGTTAGACTTGGACATTGTGGTGAGGATCTAGTACCCAAC